TTTTTTCAGTCATTCGTCTTGTCTCACTACCTGTTCAGTCGCTCCACTTCTGCAAATAAAACTTCATTCTTATCACCAGTCAACTGCCTGCATTTTGGGTCCTTTTCCTCCTACACCACACGGCTCACGCCGGCAGCTGTGACAATTAGATTATAGTTTATTGCAATAGCAAGTTGTGCCTTGTTCTCACATAGACAGCAAGTGGAGAGTGATATATGAAATGATGGGATGGAAGGAAGAAGAGAAGCAAGGAGTGATTCACAGGCAGAGCCTAATTTATTTCTCACAGTTTTTTGTTGCCTTATGGTTCCAAGCGCTGTCACCAATCTTTGCATTTTGTTATTATCTCATGACACTTGTTTAATCAGCTACCATCTCTCCTGTGGACTTTTTAATGTCTACAGTCTCAGATCAACACAGCCCTGCTCTTCCCATATTAGATTCTTGATGAATGTGTGTTGTTGTTATTCAGCCTGGTTCAATGTGCCCCTTTTTAACTTTGAGCACCCGCCCCTTTAAACCTCTCTGCACGGCCCTGGTCAGGTGTGAAAAGGCCTGCAGAGAAATCGTTTCAGAGAGCCAAATGGGCCGGAGTGGTGTTCAGCTGTGTGTTTGAGGTAAAATGGGATTTTAAAAATGTATTATCATTTCCATGTGACTCAGCACAGGTGCACGATTTCAACTATGAGCGCACTTGTTGCCAAATGCAGTGATCCGATCGGTCAGATCTGTTTATGCGGATCCGACAAACCGTGAAAATGGAGCTTGTTTCGAAAAATAAAGGTAAAAAGAAATCGTCCAGTGAAATTACGCGGTCGGTGTGAAGGTCTGCAATAAGAATGGTCAGAAAAAATATTTTTAAAGCGGGAAATATTCGGAATGATTTACGCGTCCTCGTTTTATTTCTTTTCTACCACTTCAACTAGATCAGAAGAATAAGCTGCAGAACAACATGTGTGAGGCTGTGAGCTCTAATTTGAAACAAACTGCGCCCCTTGTTCTTTTGTTGAAAATTCTATTTTCACATTGTATACAGTATATCTTTTTCTTCTAATCGATAAAGAGCAACTGAATATCTCGGCAAAGGCATGCGAGCAGAAAACAAATATTAAACACAAACCTTCTTTTGCCACAAAGTCTTGTCGACCCTGGAGCTGGTTGCTGTCACTTTGGGACTATTTTTCATCCATGCAAACGCCAGGATTTCTATTTTGGATGAACCAGTGTAATTTGGGTTTGGAACTGAATGTTTTTTGTTTTAAAAATGTATATTTATATTTGCAATACTTGATTTAATTTAGTTGTGAAGAAGAGAGCACAAACAGGGTGGAGACGAATGTCTCTGGGGGATTTGTGAAAGAAGAATCAGAGAAAGAATGAAATGGAAAGGTTTGCAGAAGTGAGACCTGCTGTGATGTGGAGGCAGATTGGACACAGTGCTCAGATTCTTTTCATTGTCCTCCTGTTGTTTTGTTGGTATCACTGTTTCCAACTCAGGTTGAGTGAATTGGAGACAAAGTCAGAGAGACAAGGCTGAGATGGTTTGGACATGTGCAGAGGAGGGATAGTTGATGTACTGTACAAACGATGTTGAAGAGTAGGAGCTCAGAGGAGGTTCATAGATGTAGTGAAAGAGAACACTGACAGGACTGGTGACCGAGCTAGGAATAGAGTGAGATGGAGGCTGATGATCCAATGTCAAGACCCCTAAAGAGAGCAGCCAAAAGATGATGAAGAAGACATTTTTGTTGCTTTTGCTGTGACTCGTGAAGACTAACGTGGCCTCTGCAACTATTTTAAGATGGAGATGCAAAGTGTATTAAATAAAGACTTTGTTGCTAAAACGATTTCGGTTATAAAGGTGAGCAAGAAAGAGAGAAACAGACAACTGGTTGAACATAATGATTCATATCAGCACAGGAAGAATGCTGCACTGCGCTTGACATTTATTAACTTGTTTGAACAGAAACCACTTGCTGAGTCACACATGAGCAGGTGCCACAGAGGCACACAGCTTAAAAGGAAAACACAAGACTTTTCTTCATGCCTCTGCTGATTAACCTCTGAACCATGATGTGCTCAAAAATAAATTGAACAATTAAAAAGGGGAGTCCCAACGGAAACGTTCAGTAACAATTTGGACAACCTTTGTTTTTCTTTTACTCATTAAAAGAATGCCGACTAGTTGGCACATCATGTTCACAGTGATTGGTCTGTTTCAGTGATGGTCCTAGAACCTTTATTACAAATAATTATCATGTTGAAGCAACAACTACACGGCTTTGTGCCATAAGGCTGCATGTAAGTGTCCTGGACATGTCAGCAGTCCACCACAGGGTAACTAGAACTCTGTAATTTTACTGCTTTCATCTCAACACAAAGCGTCTGTTACTGTACGAGTTTCGTTATTAGGACCTACAGCAGATGACTTCCCCTCCCTGAGTCTGACTGTTACTTTGTGTTAAAACGTGCCTTTTCCTTCCCACTGTCACCAAGTCCTTGCTCGTAACAGTTCTCAAAGATGTTCTGTTGGGTTGAGGTCAGGACTCTATACAGGTCAAGGTCTTCCACAAACTTGCTCATCCATGGCTTTGTGGACCTTGCTTTGTGCACTGGTGTGAAGACATGCTGGAACAGGAATGGGCCATCCCCAAACTGCTACCACAAGGTTGTGAGGTTGAAATTGTCCTAAATGTCTTGGTATGCTGAAACATACCTGCTCTGTGAATTCGCATGGTCTACCAGTTCATGGCTGAGTTAGTGTCACGTTCACTATGCTATAATCCCACTATGAGCTGACTGTGGAAAATACTGAGTGTGCTTGTTATGCAGTGCACAATCCAGTCACTCTATGAAGACACTTTTCCCATGCTTATAGACATCACAGCTGTCTTTATTTTAGCAAAGCTGAATCCGTGTCAGGTTAGCAGTAGTCTAGTTAAAGTAGATGATGTGAGTTTATGGCAAAAGCATAAATAAATGTGTCCAGCAGGGATGCTGAATGTGAGGTGCTGTGTTTGCTTCAGAGTTGTTACACCTGTGAGTAGGGATGGGTACCGGTATCGGTTCTGACATAAACGGTATAACCAGACCGAAAAGCAGCGCACATTTCGGCGCTTTCTTTCGGTGCTTTCTTTCGGTGCTTTTTTCCCCCCTGAGATGTCATACACTTTGAATACTAGCCAATCATTTTACCTACACCTGGCGACGTATAGCATTTTGTTAAAAGTCGAGAAATGCACCGTATTTGATAGCTTGCTGTGAGACCTCACACCGTGCACATCTACTGCGGGTGTGATGCCTGTAATCGGACGCGGAGTTAGCAACATCCCCCAAGAACCGAAGGAGTAGAGTCCTGGCCCCTAGCCCTGCCAGTGTAGCAGAAATGATGACGGATGATGATGGCAGCAGCAGCCGTTCTTCTCTGCGTGAGTGGCTTAATGTTGTTCGTGTGTAATTTACATTGAGTAGGCTAACCACGTTATTAAATTAATGGATGCAAGGTGAACTAGCAAACACCGTAGTAGTTAAGCGGCTGACTTCTTGTTTGATGGCAGATACTCCCTTCACCCTGGCCAAAAAGGCTAAAATGACCAAAGAAAAAGTGGAAAACAGCTAAACATGAGAGTTTTTTGGGACCAATTTTGTGTTCTCCATTCTTTAAGCACCGGTTCGAGCACCGTTTAAGCACCGGCACCGTTTCAAAAGTACCGGTTTGGTACTGGTATCGGATAAAACCTAAACGATACCCATCCCTACCTGTGAGTATGAGCAACATAAAGTGGTTAAAACGGACAATAAATTCAAATTTCTTCTCCTGCCTGATTTTTGTTTTGCAGAAAAACATGACATGCTACTTGTATTAGTTCAGATTTATTAGCAAAATACCAAGAAAAATGTACTTAAATCTAATATATATATTTTTTGGTTTGGTAAGTTTAGATCTAATCATTTAATAAGTGGCAATTCAGTACAAGCAATATATATTGTTTATATTATGAATAAATGGATAAATAAAATGCATAGATGTAACAAAATGTTGAAAATCTCTGGTGTTTTCTCTCTTTGTGTTGTCGTTGTTGTTGTTGTTGTTTCCCAAGGGCAAAGCTGGAGAAGGCTTTAAAGCAGCAGCTCATGGATTCACCAAACCAAGCGTCTCGCTCTGCAGGTACGAGTTCAGGAGCATGTTTGGAGAGACGTCATTAAGGCAAACAAACATGAATCACAAAGAGGATTTTTCCAGCGAACACAACAGAGCTCTCTGCTTAACTCCATATAGAGGAATGACATTAAAGCATTGGCAGAAACGCTCAGACAGTAAAACAAAGGCTAATCCATAAAACATATTAAACATTAAACCAAACATATTTCATGATTAAAAAAATAATGTGAAATTTATGTCTCAGCCAAATAAAACAAACAAACAGAAGAACAAAAACGGGCAGCTTCTTATATAATATGCTTATGGTTTTCATATCAATTTTTACATGCTTACTTTTCAAAAATTCTAAAACGTGCTCATTTTCAGTACTCAGAGAGAAGTAGCACACACATAGAATATTTTTATCTGTGGGAGCTGGTGGACAACCTTTGGTTGGAATTTTGCAGAGTCTACTCATATTGAGTTAACTAGGAAGTCTATGCTATCTGAACTACACTAATTAGATGTATTTGTTATTAAATTTCAAGGTCAATCAACTTTCTTTCTTTCATCTTTCTTTTTTAAGAAAAAATGAAAAAGAAAAGAAATTTGAAATCCTCACATCAATTTCTTTCTTTCCACAGAGAAGGAGCTTGCCAGAATGCGAACACAGTTTGTGCAGAGGGTGACAGCAGAAAATCTCACACAGCTACTTGAAGCCCTTGTAACAGACAATGTCTTGAATGAGTTGGAGAAAGAAAGGATACAGGAAATGAACCAAACTAGAGCAGACAAGGCACGTGACTTCATTGACACCGTGAAGAAAAAGGGAGAAAAAGCCTGCAGGATAATGATCAGTCACCTTCGTACCATTGATCCTACAGTTTCCTGTCAGCTAGGTTTGTCCTCTGGGCCATCTGTTCGGTTAGGTGAGAAAAAAAATATTTCTGTTATGACTTTTATCATTGCACAGTTTGCTTGAACGGTGAGAGTATGATGCATTTCTTTTTCTATTGTAAATCGTTTGTCGTTTGTCTTTGGTCAGTTTTCATTTAAATATTTATGGAGTGCCTTACTTGGTTTTTAAATTACTATAAATTTATCTGGAGAAGTGGAGTCCAGTCCATTCTTGAATTACCTTCTGTGAAAAGAAACGAGCAGTTGGGATATTTATATCATCCCAATTGGTTCCTGCATATTGTTGTTTTCCCTGATGGATGAAAAGGTTGTTTCCCTGAACCACTGGGTTGAAGAATTGATATTGACTATTATCCTAACTTACACAGTAACAGCTCAGAGTTCTGGCAGAACTTTGGGCTATCAGAACTTTGGGCTATCAGAAACTGAATTTGAATAACTTTTATTTGAATTTGCGTTGCTCAGATTGAATCTGAATTTCTCAACTTGATTAAAAGCTTCCAAAACTGAATTTGAAAATTCTTCACCTGTTCAAAGACAAAGCAGCCATTTAAATAAAATATAAGATATTGTTCATCTGTAACTGCAAAAAGAGAATTTAGAAATGTAATTATTAACAAGAGTGAACAAACACTGATTGTGTAATCTACAGCTGTGGCCAAATGTTTGGAGAATAAGTGTTTTGTTTTGTTTTTTTCCACACAATTTGCCGTTTCAGTGATAGTCATATCAGGTGATCCAGATGAGTTAGTAGCTTCTCTACTGTCAGGGTCTCTGCAAGCATATGGGGCTCTGAGAGGGTACAAGTTGACAACTTTGGAATTCTATTGGAAACAAACTATCATACTTGTTTGTCAAATCTGAACCCAGGGCAAACTAACCTAAATTGGCGTTTTTAGCTAACAGCCACAAAAGCACAACAGTAACTGTTTTGGTTATAATTTGTTTATATTAAGCTTTTTCTTATAGAGGTAATATATTTATTACCAACCTGAGAGTTTATCTGCTGGTCATTGAGCATGACGAATGGGAGGGACTGAGGACACAACCCTGTGGAATGCCAGTGTTAGTAATAATGCTGGCTTAAGTCCTATTGCCGATCCTGACGGACTGCGGCCTGCCAGTCAAAAAGTCCTGTAGCCAGTCACATAGGGTGGGGTGTAGGCCGAGTGTTGCCAACTTTTGAGTGAGTTTGTGTGGGATGACAGTATTGAAGGCAGAGCTGTAATAAACAAAAACTACCCTGATGTATGAGTCTTTGTTTTCTAGATCTGGAGGGTCTCGAAGCAGGTGTAGAATTGAGGTCATCCAGCAGACTGCCTGCAGAGCTGGCAGAACTGCAGCTGAGAAGTGAGAGGGGAAACTGAACATTTTCAAGAGCTAAATTTAAAAAAAGGATAAAATACAATTTCTTTGGTTCAATAAAAGGATCAGGGATTGTAACATCTAATCCTTTTACTGAATCAAAGAAAATTCATTCATTCTGTTTCAATTTAGTGACAATCATCTCCAAACCAACACACTGGATTTCAAATTTAGGTTAATTCAGTTTTAGAAGCTTTTTTTTAAATCTATTGTTGAGCAAATCAGACTCAATCTTAGCAATGCAAATTAAAATATAAATTATTCAAATTCAGTTTCTGATGGCAAAAAGTTCTGCCCATATCAGAGCACCTTGCCTTCGTGGAATGCTCTATTGGCATGCTGGAACATGCCTCAGGTGGAATCTACAATGTCCTACTAGGAGACTTCAATGATCATGTAAGCAATAACAGTGAGACCTGGGGTGTGACTGTACTAAACAGAGTTTATCTATAATGAACCCGTTGTTCAAGCATTATGATATTGAAAAGTGCACTCGGCACTGGGAAACACTATGTGGCAAGACAATTAACAAATTTTTATGAATTTATATTAAATAAACCAACCATATTAGTCAGAAAAATTTATGTGTTGTTTTTTTCTGTTAGCAGCACTTGAAAAGTGTCAGCTCAAATTCAAATCTACTCTGAAGAAGAAATTCCAGTGTGTGTTTGAGGGAATTCCTAAAGCAGGGAACCCAACCCTGCTGAATCAGATCTACACAGAGCTCTACATCACAGAGGGAGAGACTACAGAGGTCAATCGTGAACATGAGGTCAGACAGATTGAAGCAGCATCCAGGAAATGGCACAGTACAAAAATAACAATCAGACAAGAAGACATCTTTAAAGGCCCACCTGGAAGAGATGAACCGATCAGGACAGTGTTGACAATGGGAGTGGCTGGAATTGGGAAAACAGTGTTAACACAGAAGTTCACTCTGGATTGGGCTGAATGCAAAACCAATCAGGACATCCAGTTCATATTTCCATTCACTTTCAGAGAGCTGAATGTGCTACAAGAGAAAAAGTTCAGCTTGGTGGAACTTATTCATCTCTTCTTTACTGAAACCAAAGAAGCAGGAATCTGCAGGTTTGAAGCCTTCCAGGTTGTGTTCATCTTTGATGGTCTGGATGAGTGTCGACCTCCTCTGGATTTCCACAAAACTAAAATCCTAACTGACCCTCGAAAGTCCACCTCCGTGGATGCGATACTGATAAACCTCATCAGAGGGCATCTGCTTCCCACTTCTCGCCTCTGGATAACCACACGACCTGCAGCAGCCAATCAGATGCCTGCTGAGTGTGTTGACATGGTGACAGAGGTCAGAGGATTTACTGACCCACATAAGAATGAGTACTTCAGAAAGCGATACAAGGATAAGAAAAAAGCCAATAGGGTAATCTCCCACATCAAGACATCACGAAGCCTCCACATCATGTGCCACATCCCAGTCTTCTGCTGGATCACTGCTACAGTTCTGGAGAATATGCTAGAAACCAGAAAGAGGCGAGAGTTGCCTAAGACTCTGACTGAAATGTACATCCACTTCTTGGTGATTCAGGTCAAAGTGAAGAAGGTCAAGTATGATGGAGGAGCTGAGACAGATCAACACTGGAGTCCAGAGAGCAGGAAGATGATTGAGTCTCTTGGAAAACTGGCTTTTGAGCAGCTGCAGAAAGACAACCTGATCTTCTATGAATCAGACCTGACAGAGTGTGGCATCGATATCAGAGCAGCCTCAGTGTACTCAGGAGTGTTCACACAGATCTTTAAAGAGGAGAGAGGACTGTACCAGAATAGGGTGTTCTGCTTTGTCCATCTGAGTGTTCAGGAGTTTCTGGCTGCTCTTCATGTCCATCTGACTTTCATCAACTCTGGAGTCAATCTGCTGGAAGAACAACAAACTGGGGCACATTTCTACAAGAGTGCTGTGGACAAGTCCTTACAGAGTCCAAATGGACACCTGGACTTGTTCCTTCGCTTCCTCCTGGGTATTTCACTACATTCTAATCAGACTCTCCTACAAGGCCCGCTGACACAAAGAAAACGTAGCTCACGAATCAATCAGGAAGTAGTGCAGTACATCAAGCAGAAGATTGGGGAGAATCCTGATCAGGAGAGAATCTTTAATCTCTTTCACTGTTTGAATGAACTGAATAATCGTTCTCTTATGAAGGAAATTCAACAGTCCCTGAGTTCAGGAAGTCTCTCCACAGATAAATTTTCCTCTGCCCAGTGGTCAGCTTTGGTCTTCATTTTATTGTCATCAGAAAAACACCTGGATAAGTTTGACTTAAAGAAATACTCTGCTTCAGGAGAAGGCCTTTTAAGTCTGTTGCCTGTGGTCAAAGCCTCCAACTACGCTCTGTAAGTTACCATTAAATACACTATCATGTTTAGAAACTGACGAAAATGAAAATGATCACACTTATTAGTAATAATTTCATTTGTGTGGCACTTTCAAAATACACACATATAAAGGTTCTTCACAGTTTGGATAAAACCACACAGGTATACATGGTCGATTACACAGTGAGACACTAATTGGACGATCTGAGAAGGTGACTGCTGGAATACGGTCCCAGCAGCTCTGCTATATAAGCAGGAACCTGGCTCTGTATGTGATTAATACAATTTTAAAACACATTCTGAATTTTACTGAAAGCCAGTGTTTTAAGCATTATATGTGCTGTTTTAAGCATTATACGTGCTGTGTTCTTGACCAACTGAAGCCAGGCAAAGGAGGACTGAGAGAGCCAAAATTGAGACAGGAGAAAATTATAGTAGTGACTACTAAAAGTTCCATATCATCAGTAAAGGTTTGATTTTTGCAATGTTTCTTAAATGAAAGAAATGAGACTAGATGGTCTTAGAGACATGATATTCAAAATTCAGATTTTAGTCAAAAATAATAAAACTTTCCGATGATTTGATATTACCTGCATATGGACTGACCCAAACACACGTTCTTGAAGAAAAGGTCAGCGATGTAAAGTTACAGAATATTTGAAATCCCCATATATATCATTTTCTAAATACCAATATGTTGTCAATGCAACATTGTTTAAAATAGCTATACAGCTTTATTATCACCTTGACCTTGATCAGTTTATTGATGTTATAGGAGAGGTCTGTTGTGGAAGTTTTCCATCAAATAAAGCCTGCAGACGAGCAGTGAGCGGTAGCTAACATTCTTTAATCGAAACACACAAAGAACAGAAAACCAAGTTGGTGGAGAGCCTGCATGAAAATTTATATGGAAATTTCTATATGTTCGCCTCTGTCAGTGCGCCCCAGGGTGGCTGTGGCTACAATGTAGCTTACCATCACCAGTGTGTGAATGGGTGGATGACAGGTTGTGTAAAGCGCTTTGGGGTCCTTAGGGACTAGAAAAGCGCTATACAAATACAGGCCATTTACCATATGTTGATAATACCTACTAGACCTATAAGAATCATAGTTTCTGAGTTATATTACTTTTTGTCAATTTTCAACCAATAAATCATTAAGTTGATCTTGAAAACCTTGGGGGCTGTTAATATGGCCACACATTATACCCCTGCAAAGTTTTATCGGTATTGATTCAAACGTTTTCAACCCATCATGTTTACAGACAAAATGACATGAATGCATGCACACAAACACTACCAAAACCATAACCTCCCTGGCAGATCTAATTATTACATAACTGGTTCAAGAAGTCCTCAAGAAGTGCTGACGAGGACATGCAGTTGTTAATATGAATTCCGAAGTGTCTATTAGATAAGGATGATGTAAACCATTTCAGAGCTTGTCATTACTGTCTCTTCAGACTATGTGCCTGTAATGTCTCAGAGAGAAGCTGTAGAGTTCTGTCTTCAGTTCTCAGCTCCCAATCCTCTAGATTGAGAGAACTGGACCTGAGTAACAACAACCTGAAGGATTCAGGTGTGAAGATCCTGTCTTCTGGATTAAAGAGTCTGCACTGCAAACTCAACACTCTTCGGTAAAAATTCTTTAGCTTCTTTAAATAAAAGCCATTTATTTTAAAATATCTTATCTGGTCTTACTCATATTAACTTTTTTTTCCATCCTTGAACAATAAGAAATGAGGAGAGGTTCCGTTTTTGTTTTTTTTGTTGTTGTTTTGTTTTTCCCAGATATTGCACCAGTCCTTGATGTAATCTAACTGGGTTAAATTAATAGTAACATCTGGGGAATTCAATACTGATATGTACTTCAATTTTAGCTGAAGATTCAAGGGACCCAGTAGCTAGTGGCAGACAAAACTGCATAACAAAAGCAGCTGATCTAAGATTAATGATACTATTTTTTTAAATACTTGAAACTTGAATATCGTCCATTTTAAGTGAACGTGTTATTCTCCTTAGCACAAGGAAATGTGGCAAAAAGAAACTGTGTGAATCTATTAACGTATGTCCTTTTAAAAACAAAAAATTTAACCTTGTTTCTCTTTGCGACCTTTGTGGCTGCATTCATGTAGTTACTTATGCTACAAGCCACACTACAAAACCAAAAGCAAAGAACAGGACTTACTGTAATTTAGCTACATACATTACCTCCTGTGTTTTGTTTGGTTTTCCTTTTTTGCATTATTGTAAACTAATCTTACATTTTCACAGGAATATTTATTGCTCATTCAGCATGAATATGTTGCATGTATAGAAAATGCAAATCAAAGACAAAAATGTGAACCACAGTGAATTTTGAGTGACAAAAGCCTGATACGGATAGTTTACAATTAGACAGTTGAAACACCCTAGTGTTAGATTAGTGCCCTAAAAGTGTCTGTCTTCTGATGTTCTGTGCAGACTGTCAGGCTGTCTGATCAGAGAGGAAGGCTGTATTTCTCTAGCCTTAGCTATTAGCGCCAATCCTTCTCATCTGAGAGAGCTGGACCTGAGGTACAACCATCCAGGAGATGGGGGAGTGAAGCAGCTGAAGCAGCCGAGATGGGAAACTCTCAGGTATGGAGAGGCCTGGTGCAGCCACAGGCAGGACGATGGAATAGTCTTGACTGTTGGTGTGGATATGATAGTGTAACTCTGTGTTAGTTCTGTGCATGTGTGGTAATCTGTCCAGGGTGTTTTACACCATGTCCCTCTTTGATAACCCCAAATTCAATAAGCTGTTAAGAAACTAAAAATGATGGGTATACAGTAGTGGTGGAGCTGAACCCGAATACAGTATTCGGAAAGGCACAAATAACGTGTTTTTTACAAATATTTATTTCGAACAAATACTTTAAAATATATATTTGTATTCGGGAACAAGGGAAAACTTTAAATTAAAAATCTGAGTTTCCTTATGAGACCGCAGTGCACGTGGGTGACGTGTGAAAGAGGTGACTGACACTGGCTGCTCCACACAGCAACAGAGAAGGCTCGGCTGAGCGAAAAAAGACTGAACTGCATCACTATTTTTGTTGAATAGATTTTTTTGTACCTTACCTGGGTTCTGGAGGCAGTTTATAACTTTTGCGAAGATCAGTAGATTATTCCATTACACTGCATTATTGACATCTGCAGTCGGGTCAGGTGGTCTCATGTTTGCTCTGTTTACGTAGCTCTGTTAGCTCTGTAATTTAGACAAAAGGCTGTTGACAGAGTAACGTTAACGTTTGGTTAAAAAGGTTAAAACAATGCTTGTGTAGTTGTGTCGAATTGTATGCACTTACGCGAGTTGCATGGTACGTTTAAGTTACTTTGTCTTTTGCAGACAGCAAGATATAGGCTATAGGCCAGTTAACCTTAGCATAGCTTCGCGTCACTCGTTAACTTAGCTGAAACTCCCCACATGGATTTGGGCAACCAAATAGAAAAGAGTGTGGCTGCTGCTGAGCCATCTCTTGGTCCTCCACCAGGCAAAAAAACTCAAGTTCTGTGTGGAAGCATTTTACAGTCAGTGCTGCAGAAGAAACCAAAGTGATATGTAATGTGTGCAAAAGTCATAACATCATAACCATGTTCTGCCCCTGCGAGTCAGTTTCGCTGTCTGTTCAGCATCCTCCAACAAGGACAGGTGGTGGCGGGGGGGTTCATAATGTTTGCAATGGTATTTTATTAGTTGTTGGTTTAACCCTGGATGAGGCCATGGCTGTTATGTTATTTTCATTTCAATTATGTTACATGTTCATTGCTGGATTTATGGAAAAACATCAACTAATACTGCATATCCATAATTATTATAATGGATGTAATTAAAGAATACTTACACTATAATGTTTATTTGAAGTGTAACACAAAAAAATGGATTTTTACACCTATTTTGAACTTTACTCGGATACAAATACAAATACTTTCCCCCCCTCAACAAATATAAATACCGGCTGCTTTGCACATCTCTCGTATACAATAAAGCTGGCTCATTATGTCTAGTCTATATATTCAGATTACACTTAATTGGTTCATTTGGTATGCACTCTGAACACGACAAGAAAAACTGTTGTTGCTATGCTTAACTCAAAAATAGAGAAAGTGATTTGAAGCCCTTCTTCTACATCTGAATTTTGTTGTTGGATAGTAGGGGACAAACTTGGAAAAAACTGGTTATTAATATAAAAAAATCAACAGAGTTATGGCCATTTGTACATAATAAAACAGACTGAACTGGTATGAATTTTTCTATTTCGTAACAGTTCAGAAGTTTTTTTATTTTCTAAATTATTTATTTTTAACATTTTAAATGTAAGTTTATATTAAAGAACAACTTACATTCCTTAAAAATGTGTGTAATGTCCATGTGTGCATGCTGAAAGAGACTGTGCTGGTCTGACCCCCCTCCTCCTTTCAGGGTCATTCTGGAGCCTGCTGGAGTCCGATGGTTGAGACCAGGTCTGAGGAAGTGTAAGTGTGTTTTTAATGTGATTCATGAAAACATTCAACCATCTTCAAACTGTCACATCACTCATTCACATCTCTGATGTCAGGAGTCATTATCAAAGTGTCAATCAATGAACAGATGATGGATCAATAACTGGAACTGGATTGTGTTTGTTCTCTCCATCAGATTCCTGTCAACTCACAATCGACACAAACACAGTAAACAGAGAACTTAAACTCTCTGAAAACAACAGGAAGGTGAAACGTGTGGTGGAGAATCAGTCATATCCTGATCATCCAGACAGATTTGATGACTGTCCTCAGCTGCTCTGCACAGATCCTCTGACTGGTCGCTGTTACTGGGAGGTCGAGTGGAGAGGAGACATTGAAATATCAGTGAGTTACAGAGGAATCAGAAGGAAAGGACACATAACAGACTGTGGGTTTGGATCAAATGATCAATCTTGGAGTCTGAGGTGCTCTGACAATGGTTACTCTGTGTGGCACAGTAAGCGGCACATGCACATCTCTTCTTCTTCATGCTTCTCGTCTGTTACTAACAGAGTAGCTGTGTATGTGGACTGTCCTGCTGGCACTCTGTCCTTCTACAGAGTCTCTGACATTTTGATCCACCTCCACACCTTCAACACCACATTTACTGAACCGCTTTATCCTGGATTTAGGTTAAGGTCCAACCCTGATTCCTCTGTTTCTCTCCCCCTGTTAGGCAAAATTTAGACTGTTACAAAAAAATAAAGATGCTCCAGTTATTCCAAGATCAACATATTGCTTCTCTGTCTTTTTCCACTTAAAGCTTTACAGTCAACATCAGTATGTTGTGTTTCTCTTCTCTTAAGTTGATATGATTCAGTTTTTGTGAACAGACACAAAAATTGCTTAACTTTGTATCAACTGCAGCCCTGCACCAGTAGTGAATTGAAAGCATGGAAGCATGGATGCAGCAGCCCCTATTGAAAAAGTCAGACATTGCACCAACTCCTGCCAAAGTTCCATCAAAATTTCCTGCTGTTTGGCTTAGTTAGAGTAGTTATTTTGTAATTCGTGATTGATCAGTAATATACTAAATAATAATGGTTTTTTGTCTTTAAATAATACCAAAGATCGTGTTCAAATGATATTACTTGCTAATAAAGAGGGGTTTCCAAATATCATTAAGCTGTAATTTCATACAAACACCTTTTGCTGCCAAATCAGAATGTGTTTTGGAAATTGGGATCCTGAGCCTGGTGAAATACTCCATTTATTTTAATATTTTTCAATAAAATACATCAGCCTGTATGTCTTAACTCCTGTCTCAAAGGGGACCACCGGTGTTCTGAGTCTGCCATGCCTTTTTTCTGTTTTCATAATGAATTCGCTTGCTTATTTGTGTTCCTCACTGGTTGTATTATAATGTGACAATACTGTAGGAGTGATTTTTTTGGGTTGTTATCTTATGCATGCTGTTAGGGGTCACGTTTGTGTGTTTTGTTTGCATGGTGATTGTATTAAAGGTAGACGCACATAATTAACGCCAGGTGTGTTGTTGATTGCGAGGAAGCAAACAGTTTGTGACCGCTGCACTGTTATGTTAAATCATGTTGGAATAAAGAATCTAAAGGACAAGATAAGTATGGCTGGAGTTATTGGACTGTATCAAGTTTAATAAGTTAATGCATACCAGTGACATCGTGTCACCCCTGCCAAGAAACACCTCAGTGGCTTCAAGCGTAAGCTTAGCCTTTACAAATACAAATGGGTTATTAGCTAAAGGACTTTAGTTCAAATTGTTAAATAAAACTGTAAAATAGATGTTACAGTCTCTTATTAACCCTCTGTGACGACTATCAAAGGGACTTTTTCTGATGCTTTATTTGACATGTAACTTCTAACACTTGAAAGCTGTAAGTGTAGCAGTAGTAGTTTCTTCACACTGCTTTCCATAAAGATTTAATAAAGAATTAAAGAAAGAAGAAGAAAATTTGATTATAATTTGTGCTGTCTTGCCTGTAACTTCTCCACAGTATGCCTTTTGTCCTGTCCTCCTCACATCCTTCCCAAACCAGCGATGGCAGCTGCCTGGTTCTGCTGGAGAGTTCTTCCTGGTGTTGCCAAGCACTTGTTCATAGTGAGCTGCCTGATCTTTGGTGTTTTCTCTGTATTATTGTACATATAAATATTAAGCACCTCAAAGTGAAGAATAAAATAAAGTGAATAAATAAAATTCAATTGAATGGAAATGATCTGATTATGGGAAGAAGTGACGGCAGGTAGTGAATTAATAATGAACATTAATTATTAATAGGAATATTTCAAGGTTCCCTTACAGATATTATTTCATTATAAAATGCGTTTGTGGTCATAGCTGATTTGTCCTCATCAGAATGAAGTTTATCTTATTTATATCCAGGAGTTGGCGCTAATGCGCCGGTGTTCCAGATCTACTGGCGTTTAGATCAACTGGCGTTGGTCGAACAGATGTGTGGCAGTCTTGCGTTTCAGGAGCTGCTACCGACAAACCAGCAAAAAAA